GATAATCCTCCTTCATTCTCTCTTGTTGTTTTTCTAAGCTTCTAATTGTTTTGGAGAACTAAAAAAATTTATCAATCTTTTGGCTCTAAGAACAAGAGCTTTAATTTCACCATTATAATTTAAAGCTTTTTTAATGCAGAGCTGGAATGTATGAGCGGAACATGGGATTCTGTCAATTTCCAATGAGTTTTTTAATAATTTTAAAGCAGAAACCATGTTGCTACCATTGTCAGTTGTTATAGCTGAAAGTTTCCAATCCAATTCCCATTTTCTTATTTCATTTTCCAGCAAATCTTTTATAATTATGCCTGTATGAGGATATGGTACATGAACTAAATTTAAAAGTACTTCAATAGGTTCAAAATTTTCTGTTAGCCATGTCCCTGTGATTCCCATGTAACCTTTTCTTTGATTAGTTGCAGTCCAAAAGTCAGTAGTAATGGACACAAATTGGCAGTTGTTAATTAATTTGTTGAGCTCATTAGTTGAATGATCATACATTACCTCTAGAGATTCTTTAATTGTAGTTATACATGGAATATTAAAATGTGGGTTAAGAGAATGAACAAATTCTTTAAAGCTAGAACTTTTTAAAATATGAAATGGTTGTACATCTTTAATTATAAATTCAATTAATTTTTTTTTAATTTCAGTGTTTTGATAATCATTGAGTGGTGGTATTGTCAGTTGAATTGAACCTTCATTCTTGTCTAAAATCTGTATCATTTCAAAAGAAAGAACAATAAGAAACAATTAAATATATTAGATGATATTACGAAATACCTTTTTGATCACTTCTTCTCTAATAATTCCATGCTCCTTCCGTAAATGTGAGATGGTATTTGAAGTAGACCCTTTATTTGTATTATATGAAAAAAAATAATTACATGGTTCACCATTTGTTTTTTTGACAACACATCTCCAACCATCTGACATTTTTTTGCAATAATTCCAAATAAAGCTCTTGTTTTTTGTTGTAGAGCTCCTTAAAATATTAACATCTCTTGAAAAACTACCAATGCTGGTATTATTTGATGACTCAATTTCAGAAGATTGCAAAAAATATTCATCTTCAGGCTGCGAAAAAAAATTATCTTCCTCAATATTATTATTATATGACATTTGTTCTTTGTAAATAAATGGAAAGGATTGGATTGAAAAGTAAAAAAAAAATATAATTGAAATAATACAAAATATTATAATAAAATTTGAACGGAAATTGAATAAGTATTGTGATCAAAGAATTCATTTGTTGAAACATCGATAAAACATTGATCAAACAATAAAGGTTATATTTATACCAATTTCAAATAAAAATATGATAGTAAAAACTTGAATTAAAAGGGAAACTCATTAAAAATTTGTCTGTATGAAACTAAGTTTATTTGTATGAAAAATTCATTCAGGTTCTTGTATGAATAAAAAAATCAAATACATATATCAAAAAAAAATATCAATGTATCAAATGAAATAGTTTTCATACTTCAATTGACTTTCTAAGCTTATAGCCACTCCTAAACATTATAACTAATTATCACCGAATGAAATATTGTCTTTCTAAACTCCAGCTATTCCTAAATCATTAATTATAAACTTAAAAAATTTACTGTATGAAAAAATTCATAATAATTAAAAAATCAGACATTGTAAGAATTACTTATCAAATGTTATAGTAAAACACATTTTTATGAACAGATACTTTAATAATACAATTTATCTTTATTTCTTTGATTTATATTGAAAATACATAATATAAAATATTGATAGTATAATTATCTTATTGTTAATAATCTTTCTGGGAGATATTAGAACATAATAATAACAATAATAATTAATAATAGTGTTGTTATGATAGAAATTAATTAATATTAACATTAAAGTATTATGTCCAAAAACAGGAATAGTAAGTAAACAAATAATTACACATGACTTGTTACAGACATGTATATATCTTCTCTTAATATTAATAAACATTAAATTTTTGTCTTCTTTAACTGAAAAACTTAAAATGAAAAATAAAATGATTTTTGTGCTGATAAAATAATATAAAACAGGTAATGCAGTAATCATATTAAATATTATTATTGGTTGTTCTTGTTTGTAATTTACATTTCCATAATATTAAAAAAAAATTATTTCCGTTGCTTTTCTAACAATTTTTATATTAATATTAATATCTAAATATGATAGGTCAGTATCATTTTGTGACACTCGAGAACTCGTGAGTACTCATGAGTGCGGATCTTTCCATTAATAGTATGATCTACGAGTACTCACGGTACTCACATTACTCATGAGTAAATCATTATGAGTACAAACACTAAAATAGACCAAAAAATTGCAATGGTTGAGCAAGTAGTGCCAAATAGTATCTGTGATTTGATTTTTACAATGTGAATAAAGATATGTACATATTATTTATTAGATAATTAGATAGATAGTATAAGCATGTAACAATAATACACTAGTTATATCAGAAAAAAGGAAAGATGAGAGATGACAATTAATCTTTTTAATATGAAAAATGTATGGTGTCCAAAAATTCTTTGAGGGCAAAGCTCTCAAAGAATGCTCTCCGCAGGAGCATTGGCTTCTTCACATGAAGAAGGAAAATTTTTTTTAGCAATGTTATAACATTATATATATTATTAATATAAATATTTTTTTTAATTTGTATTACTATTAAAGGTCACGTGACATAAAATTTTATTGACGATTTTCCCAAAATTGGCTACGAGGCACAGCAAGTTGCGGGACTAGGTGACTTGCACCATATAAAGAAGCCAAGGTGTTTTGCTGTGTCACACACATTTGACTTTACACTCGATTTCTGAAATTGAAAAGATACTTGGTCGAGCAGACTTTTTTTAATTCTCAATTGTAGCAAAAATAGGGCACGGACAATAGGAAGGAGTCAACTACCAAAATCGTGATTTTGGGTTAATAGCGTCCTTACACGTAATTTGCCGCAAGGATTGATTTTAGCTTAGAGACCATACCCAATTAATAAAATTCTGGGATATGTTCTGTTAAAGTTCTTTAAAAAAAATACTAAATGAGAAGGATAACTACAAACATCGCGATTTTGAATTAATAGCATTTCTATATGTAATTCATCACGAGGATTGATTTTAGCTTGGGAAGTTAAGATAATAATCACGTGTTTTTATATGTCCTGCGAATCCGACCCGAGTAACACAATTGATACGTGACCTTAAAAAAATAGTAGAATGCGGATCTTTTTAAAAACGTGATTTGCAGTGCCCCCAAATGTCAATATTTTTGCATTTTATTGGGATTCTACTACATCTAGAATTGGTTCTGAATTGCAAAAGTAGCAATTCACATTCACATTCAGTAGAAAGGCCATGAGGACAATATTGGCTTTATTCATACATACAAATAGGAGAGATCGTTTGTAAGTAAATTTATTAATGGAGTTGTAATAAAATCTCTGCAATTCTTCAATAATTTAATAGAATTACCAACGAGTCAACTTAAAGGTGACATACTTTATCATCAAAAAAATTTTAAAAGGATTATGATTCTGATTCTCCAATTCATCATCTTCATATTGTAACACCATTGTTCACGATCATGATTATCTGATCACGCACGAGTTACAAATTAATGATTTTGGTGAAGAAGAGCTTATGGCAGGTGCTATAAATAGTATTGGAGAAATATTGAGATATGTAAATATTAATATCTTTAAGAAGTACAGGAACGGAATACATTTATTGGAAGCTATTGAAGAGGAGAATGTTTTTGATCGTCCTATTGATGATGATACTCGATCAAAATGGTCACTGTTATATTTATTTGATTCTAGTTGAGAGCCTCTGACATTTTTAGCAATTTTTATATTAAAAATCATTATTATTCTCTCTATATCTGATTGAACGGACAATCTTAGTGACCAGGTCACGTAATATCACGGCACACAATTCCTTTGATGTACAATTAAAAGACATGTGCATTGTTTTGTAACAATACCCATAATGCTCAACGACTATCATTGTCTTCTTGATTATCAAGTCAATTAGAGATTTATGCGGCATCATTAGATAAGGATTCATTAGATGGACGAAGCTTTTGGATTGCAGCATATAAATCCTTAATGCAAATAGGGCGGGAAGGGTATTCACCTTCAAGAAAGTTTATTATATAGTAGCTCAAATTGTACAATGTACAGACCATAACTCTACATCTCCAAGCATTTCAGCAACAAGATCTAATTCATATTAATTATCATTTATCGTTGGACAATGATGCGTTTACTAAAAAAAAATAATCGGTCTTGTATCTTTCATAGATGTTGTTGAACTAACTATAGGTAGCCTCCACGTTCACATAAATATGTGCGTCTTCTAACAACACACTCTAACCGACGAGTTCTGTCCTTTTTAGTCTGATTTTTTACCCATTCTTCTAGTAATACATCACAGACTTCCCAGTCTTTTCAGTAAAAAATTCGGAAGCTCAGTTTCCCTGAATGAGGCATTATAATAGAATAAATAAACAAGAAACAAGAAACAAAGCACATCCTCATCCCACTTATTGAAACTTCTATTAAAGAATGAGTGTGTTTGCAATTTAGTTAACATGCTTTGGATTAGTTAATTTTTAAGAGAGTGGATGAAGAAAAGAATTAAATTGTAACGCGTACAGAAATATGACATTATTTTATTTTTTATTCTCCATAGATTAATAAATAATGGATCATCAAACAATTTAATAACGTTGGTATATATATATAGATGTTGGATGTGATTTTCAAATTATAAAATATTTTAAATGATAAAGACGTGCACCTTCCTTAAAATGGTTCATTATTATTATTTTGATCTTATATATATATCAAAAAAGGCAAATAACCGTCGCACCGACTTATTTATGCCAAATACAGAACGTTGATTTAGAGAATTTTGTAATACTAGTGTTTAATATTAATATACAAAACATTCTAATTATTCTTCAATTTCCCGAAAAAGTTTTCAATGTCTTGGAAAAGTGATATTAGAGTAATTGTCGGTTTAGGTAAATAAATATTGAACAAGTGATATTATTGTTTTGTTGAAATTTTAATATACTATTATTTGACTTTTAACTTTATTTATAATATATACACTACTGGTTTTTTTTTTCAGACTTCGGAACAACCTTTAGTGTAAATAAAAAAAATTTTTTTTATTGCATTAACCCTATAAAGGAAAATTTTTAAATAATATTAATTTAAATAAAAACTTTGTTTGTTTTCAAACGTAGGGATTTAGTTATGTTCATACAGCTAATCAAGAAGAAATTATTACCAATGAAGCTTGGCCTGGTGAAATTGGACAGCTGAAGACAAACACGGTTTTGCAATATGATCCAAAATTTGAAACGGTCGATTTATGGGGGGCACCAGCATTATCAAAACGACCACATCGTAGAAAGAAAAAAGTAATTGAGGCTCAACCAGTAGAATTATTCAAACTTCATTTAGGCGATATGCCGGCAAAACTTAAACCAAAACTTGAATTAGATTATAAGAAAGCAATCACAGACTATCTAAAAGAAATTGGAAGAGTATGAACATTTCTATATTATTTTTATCATTGAAAAAATTATCTGGTTGCTTATGATCAGATTTAATTTATTTAGTGGATGAAAGACACCATAACAACAAGATGGTGTGGGATAGATTTCAAAAATGATGTTTTATTAATTATAACAATGCCTGCAGGTAATAAACAATTTAAATGTTGAAATTTTAATTTTCATCTTAAAAATCATTGGCTAATTAATTTAATTTAAATAAATATTTTAGATTATTCGGAACAAGCGAAGGCTATTATGAGAGAATGTGTATTCAATGCAGATATGATTTCTGATTTGGATTCAGAAAAATTGCAATTTACAACTGAACGTATGTTTTATGAATATACTTGATTATTTATTATAAATTATATATAATTGATTTTATTTCGAAAAAAAATTTTTAAAATCAATCATTTAGCCGAAGCTGCGGCTGTTTACTGTTTAAAAAATGTTCTCAAAGAACATTCTCTTCAAGTATCAGGAAGTAAGTTGATGTCTATTATTACTTTATAAAGCAATTTATGTATTTATATATGTATGTATGTATCGCTAATTTAATGATAATTGTCAATATGAAGCTACCTTTATGATAGTTGATTGTGGAGGCGGAACCGTTGATTTAACAACTTACAAGTTATGGAAGGAAGATCAACTTGGCGAAATAACTGAAAGAGCAGGAGATTTTTGTGGAAGTACGTTTGTTGACAATAAATTTGTAGATTATTTGAGCAGCATAGTTAGCAAAAATGCTATAAATTTGTTAAAAAAAAATCATTATGGGCAATTCCAATATATGGTCCAAACATTTTGTAAACAAGTCAAATTTCCATTTTCTGGACAAGATCCTGATTTTACATACGAGTTAGATATTGAAGATGTCTGTCCAGTTTTAAAGCAATATGTAACGGATTCGGTAGAAGAACAACTCGAGGAGACAGAATGGATAATTGAGATAGATTATGATACAATCAAATCATTTTTTGATCCAGTAATCGATAGGATCATCTCGATGATCGATGTTCAATTGAAAAATTCAAATAATAACATAACAGCAATGTTTTTAGTGGGAGGTTTTAGTCAATCGAAATATTTACAAAAAAGAATCAAAGATAAATTTATACCTCAAGTTCCTAATATATCAGTTCCTGTTAGATCTATAGTTGCGGTCTGTAGAGGAGCAACACTGTATGGACTTAGTATGTACAATAATGATAACTTGAACAGCAACAATAATTTTAAATTTGTTATAGATAGTCGTGTTTTACGTTATTCATATGGTATAATTGGATATCCGATGTGGAAAGAGGGTGATCCACCACATAGAAGAGATTCGGATGGTAGAATGCGTAAATTCATTCAAATGGCACCTCGTGGTAAAGTTGTAAAAATAAACGAGGAATCTTCTACAACGTTCGTACCAATATCAGCAGAAAATGAATCTATAAGATTTGAAATATACCATTCAAAGAACAATGATGAAATCTACTCGGATGAGCCAGGCATGAAAAAATTAGGTGAACTTATAATTTCATTGCCTGATAAACATCTCGGAACTAATAGACCTGTATTATTTTCACTCTGCTTTGGAAAAATGGAGATCACAGCAAGGGCAATAAACCAATTAAATGGTTTAAATTGTGAAACAAAATTTCGGTTAGAATTTGATTGAAATATACAATTATTTAAAAAAAGTTTTATTGCATCCGTAATAGTTATTATTGTAATAGTAGATTGATTGTAATTTTACAACTTTTTTTTTTTTGATTTTTTCTTTTGGAGTTTCAATATCAATATTATTATTAAACTTTATATTATTTAAATTAACGCCATGGCGCAGAAAGCGTGGGATATATCATTGTGTTAAAAGATATGCCATACAGAGATGTAACACAATTTACATTTAAAGAAAAAAAAAAGACCATTGACAAAAACTTGCCCATCGACAAAATCATGAGTTAAATCAACTAGTCCAAGGTGAGAAAATCATTGAAGAAATGTAAAACAGTTCCATATTCAACCAATTGATCTTACCTTGGTATTAAATAAATACCATCCAATTTTTATCAAACAATTAACTTACTCTTCATTACATTAATTTTACAACAAGAGTTTACCAAAATGTTCTTCAGAGGAAAAAGTATGCATCGTGCTACGTAACATCAATTTCTATTTCTTTCGGACCATTTTGACAAGAGATTTCATTCATCTGACATTTTTGTCCGCTTTTAAGCAAAATAATGTCTAGCAAATTCCAAGAAATAGTTCTGCTCATTGCTACACAGATTTATCCTGTCACATATTGTCAAAATAACATTAAAAAAGTGAGATTATTGAAAAAAAAAGAAATGTCTAATCGTTATTTTGTTTAATATTTATTGAAAAAAAGATCATTTATTGCTTACTTTGTCATATACATTTTTGATAAATCTCTACATCTTTGTATTTTCTTTTATATAAAGAATCTCTTTACAGTGCGTAGCAAAGCGAAGCGAAGCGTTTTGAAGAAATCAAATATTTCCTATACAACAAGTATGGGAAGGGAACGTTAAATTGTCGAAGAGAAAGTGATACTTTGTTGATTTTTGTTAATCAGACATAGCCTTGGTTTTTGAGATGGATTATGCATGTGAAATCGTATATTTCTAGAAATGCATCGATTAAAAAGATCTTTAATTCGTATATAAAATTCTGAAAATTAATTATATATACAGTGTGTTAAGAAAAAAATTGGCCTCCGGAGATATAAAATTTAAAATGCATAATTTCCATATTAATTAAATAAATCATAACAAATCATTTTAGACAATAATAATTGACTCCGTAACTTAGTTTTAATTAAATTTATAACCTTTTAAACATCGTTTTTTGTGCTTTAAAAATGACTGCAAACAAGTTAAATTCTCAACGCCAAACTCTTGTACATTTTTGGAATAATGGAGTCCGATCTCAAAAGGAACTCCACAAAATTACTAATATCCCCCTCTCAACAATCAAGTATAATATCCAAAAATTAAAAAAAACTGGAGATGTTGCACATAGACGAAGCAATGGTCGTTCCAAAAAGATAGGTTTACGTGAATCACGTGACCTCGAGCAGTACATTCGCGAAGACAGTTCCCTATCTTTGCGAACCTTGGCTACTAAATTGTCCAAGGATGGAGTTAAAGTGTCCCATGTAACAGTTGGAGCATGATTAAAGGAGCTTGGTTACAAAAATAGTCTTCCAAATGGTACACCAATGCTCACTGCGGTCCAGAAGGCGAAGCGAGTTGAATGGGCCACAAATCACTTGAATGATCAATGGGAAAAGACCTTATTTTCCGATGAAACAGCCTTTCAGTTATTTAGAAATACAATATCACAGTGGTATAAGGGCCCTAGACCGATTAGACCTCTTCCCAAGAATCGGCAAAAAATTTTCGCCTGGGGTGGATTTTGTGCTAAAGGCAAAACCACTTTACATTGCTTCACAGGGATCATGGATGCTAAATTTTATATAGAGATTTTACAGCAGCATCTTCCAGAAGTTAGAAGGATGTTTGGAAGGAGGTGGAGATTTCAACAGGATAATGACCCGAAGCACACTAGTCGGGTTGCTAAGGAGTTTTTAAAAGAAAACTTCCCCGAGGTTATGGACTGGCCATCTAACAGTCCAGACCTCAATCCTATCGAAAACCTGTGGGGAATTGTTAAGCATCGTGTAGAGAAGCGTATGCCAAATAATATTAGTGAATTACAACAATATATGACAGAAGAGTGGGAAAATATTCCGGATGAATTTTTCTTTCTACGATGTGGTCGTTTTGATAATGCTGGTGCCCCCCATAAATCGACCGTTTCAAATTTTGGATCATATTGCAAAACCGTGTTTGTCTTCAGCTGTCCAATTTCACCAGGCCAAGCTTCATTGGTAATAATTTCTTCTTGATTAGCTGTATGAACATAACTAAATCCCTACGTTTGAAAACAAACAAAGTTTTTATTTAAATTAATATTATTTAAAAATTTTCCTTTATAGGGTTAATGCAATAAAAAAAATTTTTTTTATTTACACTAAAGGTTGTTCCGAAGTCTGAAAAAAAAAACCAGTAGTGTATATATTATAAATAAAGTTAAAAGTCAAATAATAGTATATTAAAATTTCAACAAAACAATAATATCACTTGTTCAATATTTATTTACCTAAACCGACAATTACTCTAATATCACTTTTCCAAGACATTGAAAACTTTTTCGGGAAATTGAAGAATAATTAGAATGTTTTGTATATTAATATTAAACACTAGTATTACAAAATTCTCTAAATCAACGTTCTGTATTTGGCATAAATAAGTCGGTGCGACGGTTATTTGCCTTTTTTGATATATATATAAGATCAAAATAATAATAATGAACCATTTTAAGGAAGGTGCACGTCTTTATCATTTAAAATATTTTATAATTTGAAAATCACATCCAACATCTATATATATATACCAACGTTATTAAATTGTTTGATGATCCATTATTTATTAATCTATGGAGAATAAAAAATAAAATAATGTCATATTTCTGTACGCGTTACAATTTAATTCTTTTCTTCATCCACTCTCTTAAAAATTAACTAATCCAAAGCATGTTAACTAAATTGCAAACACACTCATTCTTTAATAGAAGTTTCAATAAGTGGGATGAGGATGTGCTTTGTTTCTTGTTTCTTGTTTATTTATTCTATTATAATGCCTCATTCAGGGAAACTGAGCTTCCGAATTTTTTACTGAAAAGACTGGGAAGTCTGTGATGTATTACTAGAAGAATGGGTAAAAAATCAGACTAAAAAGGACAGAACTCGTCGGTTAGAGTGTGTTGTTAGAAGACGCACATATTTATGTGAACGTGGAGGCTACCTATAGTTAGTTCAACAACATCTATGAAAGATACAAGACCGATTATTTTTTTTTAGTAAACGCATCATTGTCCAACGATAAATGATAATTAATATGAATTAGATCTTGTTGCTGAAATGCTTGGAGATGTAGAGTTATGGTCTGTACATTGTACAATTTGAGCTACTATATAATAAACTTTCTTGAAGGTGAATACCCTTCCCGCCCTATTTGCATTAAGGATTTATATGCTGCAATCCAAAAGCTTCGTCCATCTAATGAATCCTTATCTAATGATGCCGCATAAATCTCTAATTGACTTGATAATCAAGAAGACAATGATAGTCGTTGAGCATTATGGGTATTGTTACAAAACAATGCACATGTCTTTTAATTGTACATCAAAGGAATTGTGTGCCGTGATATTACGTGACCTGGTCACTAAGATTGTCCGTTCAATCAGATATAGAGAGAATAATAATGATTTTTAATATAAAAATTGCTAAAAATGTCAGAGGCTCTCAACTAGAATCAAATAAATATAACAGTGACCATTTTGATCGAGTATCATCATCAATAGGACGATCAAAAACATTCTCCTCTTCAATAGCTTCCAATAAATGTATTCCGTTCCTGTACTTCTTAAAGATATTAATATTTACATATCTCAATATTTCTCCAATACTATTTATAGCACCTGCCATAAGCTCTTCTTCACCAAAATCATTAATTTGTAACTCGTGCGTGATCAGATAATCATGATCGTGAACAATGGTGTTACAATATGAAGATGATGAATTGGAGAATCAGAATCATAATCCTTTTAAAATTTTTTTGATGATAAAGTATGTCACCTTTAAGTTGACTCGTTGGTAATTCTATTAAATTATTGAAGAATTGCAGAGATTTTATTACAACTCCATTAATAAATTTACTTACAAACGATCTCTCCTATTTGTATGTATGAATAAAGCCAATATTGTCCTCATGGCCTTTCTACTGAATGTGAATGTGAATTGCTACTTTTGCAATTCAGAACCAATTCTAGATGTAGTAGAATCCCAATAAAATGCAAAAATATTGACATTTGGGGGCACTGCAAATCACGTTTTTAAAAAGATCCGCATTCTACTATTTTTTTAAGGTCACGTATCAATTGTGTTACTCGGGTCGGATTCGCAGGACATATAAAAACACGTGATTATTATCTTAACTTCCCAAGCTAAAATCAATCCTCGTGATGAATTACATATAGAAATGCTATTAATTCAAAATCGCGATGTTTGTAGTTATCCTTCTCATTTAGTATTTTTTTTAAAGAACTTTAACAGAACATATCCCAGAATTTTATTAATTGGGTATGGTCTCTAAGCTAAAATCAATCCTTGCGGCAAATTACGTGTAAGGACGCTATTAACCCAAAATCACGATTTTGGTAGTTGACTCCTTCCTATTGTCCGTGCCCTATTTTTGCTACAATTGAGAATTAAAAAAAGTCTGCTCGACCAAGTATCTTTTCAATTTCAGAAATCGAGTGTAAAGTCAAATGTGTGTGACACAGCAAAACACCTTGGCTTCTTTATATGGTGCAAGTCACCTAGTCCCGCAACTTGCTGTGCCTCGTAGCCAATTTTGGGAAAATCGTCAATAAAATTTTATGTCACGTGACCTTTAATAGTAATACAAATTAAAAAAAATATTTATATTAATAATATATATAATGTTATAACATTGCTAAAAAAAATTTTCCTTCTTCATGTGAAGAAGCCAATGCTCCTGCGGAGAGCATTCTTTGAGAGCTTTGCCC